GTGAGGGTAGTTGATAATATCGATTGTTAAATTGGGACCTTACGGTTCTTCATTGTTGGTCTATTATCAATTGTTGATCCGTTTTCTTGGTGAAAACTAAATCTATTAACAATGGAGCTGTGGAATCAATTTGACTATCAAAACATGATTCTTTAACATGCGCGTTAGATGTTTGTTGAAATGTTTGAATAAAATTGTTCAAGTTCTAATGAAAGCTTACTGTCAAATTCTGGTTTATATTATTATTAGCTTCTGCAACTGGGGCAGAATTTTGGCTCACTTGAACAAGCATAAAGTTGTATGTATTTTAAGGAAACCACAACGGATAATGCATGCATGAGGATCACATTGCAGGATGTATAATTAAGGAGCCAAAGCCTAGCTTACAAGGAGTGGTGGTGGCAATGTAGTGGGTACGCTAATCACCACCTGATTGCTCATCATTTGTGATGGTGCTAGGAATTTGCATAATTAGGTACCTTATAAGTTACAAGTATTATAGAGTGTTCATGTTTGTTATTTTTTTTTTTTTATATATAACTTGTGTGTTTATTGGGTCATATTTTATGATTAGGTCAAAATAGTAGAATTCTAATGAAGTGATATATTACATTGTTTGTGATTATTGCAAAAATTTTGAAAACATTTTCTTATAATTACATAATTTAAATTAATGCATATGATACAAAATTTAAATTTGACAATTACAAAAATAATTGAGAAAATTAAAAAAGAATTGTCTAGTTTTGATATTAATATATACAAAATGCAACATAAGGGTAATATGGTCATTTTTTACAATTCACCACAGTCAGTCAGAGATATAATCAAACAATATGGTTTCAGTCAGATGTGGACTCAGTCAGAAATTCTAACTCGGTACCAACTCAGTCAGCATTAACTCAATCAGCAACTATGAAACCACCCCTAAGACTAACACATCACCTAACTAGACTTACTCATACTGCTAAACACCTCACAGATATCCACTTAGGCACTTACAAATGCAGCCGTCAAATACCAAAAAAAAAAAGTCATAAGAAATGAATTTATTACTAAGTACCCGCGGTTTACGTTACAACATGAATGTATTTGGACGAGCATACGAAAGAAGCAAACCACAAATATAATCAGAAATGACATTTAATAGACAACCACCTTCTTCGTCGTCTCCTAACTCAAAACCACTATAAAATAAATTGCATACATCTGACGTACAAACATACGTTACTATCTATCTTCAATCCACCCCACGTAGCAAAAGAATGAAAATTGAAGAAATGATTTGTGAGCTGCAATCTGATACAACAACATCGTCACAGCAAGAAGCAGCTACAAATCGCCTATGAACAGCTCCATCAACAACTTCAAATAAGAGAAGAAACGACAAATAACTTGGAATCCCAAATCCCTCTTCACTTTCCAACCTCTTACACAACAGCTGCTATCGACATCCAGCATCACTGACCACGAAACCCTAAGATGCTTACGTCTCTCCGTACTGCTTAAGAAAAAACTCATAAAAACATGAGGTATCCCTAATTACTAAAATGATGCATAGGCAGAAATAGTCGACTTCATCGTTCTTTTTTGAATATTACATGTGTTTCACAGCTTTTGCTTACATATGAACGAATGTATTTCACATCTTTTGCTTCCGTTACATTTGCACAATCAAAAGCATAGGCAGAAATAGTCAACTCCGCCCTTCTGTGTGTGTTTCACAGCTTTTGCTTACATATGAACAAATGTATTTTACATCTTTTAATGAAGTATTTATTCTCAAACGAAATCCAGTTTACCATTCAAATCCATTACATTTGCACAATCAAAATAGAAAAATAAAAACTCTTCTAAACCATGCGAAGCAGGGCTGTTTTCCTAGTTTTTCATTAATTCTATTTATTTATTAATCTATAGTATTTTTATTTTAACCAAAAAAAAATGAATGGAAACAAAATAGTCTTTTTCTCTGTACAAATAAACCCTTAAAATCAACAATATATATATATATATATATATATATATATATATATATATATATATA